CGTCACAAAAAGCACGATGACAAGGTATGTCCATCAGGCTTAATCCATTGCTAACTTGTAACTGAAATGTCAAGACCAAGTCCCATCCGGTCCTCGGTTAAAACAAGAATTGCTGTTAGTTCCTCTCTCTGTCGTAGATCTCCCAAAGCCAAGAGATGCAATAGGGAAGGCCAAACTAACTCTATTTTTGAGAGATGGACAGCTACTCGAAGGTGTATAAACAGAGCAAACAATAAAAATGAAATTATATCAATATACGAAAAGAGAAATCATATCAATACAAAAACAGTAATTATGTTATATCTGAATTCACAATAGATATGTGTATCTTACTCACATACATGACTCCCAAAAGAGGGACAGGTCAGTCGAAATTGCTAAGGCAGAAGGCGACCTCTTAAACGCTTACAGCAGCAACAATAACAACAACAATAAAACCTTGACAGTAAGAGAGAAGGACACAAACCCAGCACTTCATGAGAGAAGGACAGTTTACAAGAAGAAATTACGACAGGAGAGGAGATTGGTTCGGACAACACATTGACTTTAGCTGAGGTAATAGTTAGGAGTAGTAGACCATTGCTTCAAGAGAGGAGATCAATCAACACAGTACACACATAGCGTCGTGTATGTACGTGTGCGTGCGTGTGTGTGACTGCTTGTTCCAGTCCGGATTAATGCCTACGTTATAGTGCGAGCACACTGAGATACCATGCCACAGTATAACATGAATACCCCACTCAGACACAGTATACTGACTCCGAGCTGACCAGTCCTTGTTTAAGTCCCTCAATTCCGAGCGCCAGACACGGTGTAACAATATGTACCATCTTTTGACGTTTTTCGATATGACGCGGCTAGGGATGGAACGCCTGACCTTCCGCTCTGCCGGCAGATACTCTATCCACTTTAACACTGGACCATAAGAGGAGGATTGTTAACAGAACACCTTTATGTCACAAAAGAATAGCTGACACAATACCTTGGAAACACAGGAAGTCAGGAGCATAGAATACTTAACACAATACAAGACACCATCTTGACTGGAGGAGAATAGTTAAACTACCCTTGCCATCAGAGGAGATAAACAGTTATCACATCCTGACTTCAAGAGTGAACATAAGTTAACACTACAAACTGACTTCCAAAACACCTTGTGGACAGGCGAGAAACTTTAACGCTGCAGAGGAGAATAGAGAATGCGCCACCTTGACATCACAAGGAGAATAGTTTATACAATACCTTGACAACAAGAGATGGGCACACTTAACACAACACCTTGACGTCACAAGACGAGAAAAGTTAAAACAATACCTTGACGACAGAAAAGCAGAATAGCCAACAGAACACCATGGCGAGAGGAGAGGAGAATAGTTTACACTACACTTTGACCTCGTTGTAGAGAATAGTGACCACGGCTAATGGACTTCAGGAGAGGAGAACCGTTAAATCAACAGGTGGATGTCAGGTGAGTAGAATACTTAACATTACATCATGCCTTCTCGTGACATTAGGAACGAAGAATGCTTATGTAGAATCAGGGATTGTAATCAGTCTTACCTTTCCAATATCATGGAAGAACACCACCAACGTATGTTATGTCTTTTGTTGCGTAGAACGGAATAATATATGGGTAGGGTTGCACAGTGCACCGCGATTGGATGGTAAATATGAACAACAGCTTGTCCTTTCAGACTAACTAGTCATGTATTATCTATGTTCATATCAACAACACACAAAGGAACATTAATATATGATAATTTCACTTCTTTATTTTAACGTAATTCCTCCTTTTTGTTACAGATAATTGTAGTGTTTATCAACCAAGGCTGAGCAATGTTTGTTTGTGTGTTTGTTAGTGTGACGCCGCTATATTCCAGCTATAAATGAATATTTATGATAACTCCTTTATATACGCAAAAGCAACGCAAGTGGTTTTAAGCAAATAGGTAACAAACCCCGAACCATAAATTGATACGAGTTTTAGCATGTAGTGAAGCCTGATGGTGTTATTAATATTTTTGGTTGCATTTTGGAAGCCCCGAGTAAAAACGCAACCTAAAAAAACAATCGCCGAAACGCACCATTTAAATCATTATGGGGGTATCATGCACCCATTTCTCGCGAAACTCGCGAACTGTAGTGGGTATAAAACTGTGGCCGATTCTTGGACCTACCACTCCTTGGTCAACAATGCCACGCCTAACTTAAATTCAGGGAAACCAGGCTATCGGACGTTTGGAAGCTGGAGAGTCTGTCCAAGATGTTTCCCGTATATCATCGTTAACACAACCACAATTTACCGTCTCCTGCATCGATATAATGCTACACAGACCACAAATGACCTTCCTCGGAGCGGTCGTCCTAGGGTCGCCACACCTCGACAAGACCGGCAGATTACCCGTCAACACCAGCGACATCCGTTCCTAACTGCAAGTGAAAGTGCTCGACAGACCACAGGAACACATAATCGACACATAAGCCGGGACAGTGTGATCCGACGTCTCCGTTCCAACAACCTCAGATGTCGCCGACCAGCATGTCGTCCTGTTCTCCAACCACTGCATCGACAAGCACGACTTCAGTGGGCACAGGGCCATCACAATTGGCGTCATCGTGACTGGAGGCGTGTCATCTTCTCTGATGAAAGTCGCTTTTGTGTCTCCCATGCAGGCCGAAGAGTCAGAATTTGGCAGTGTCGAGGTGATCGCTGACAGAAACGTTGTGGAAAGGGATCCATAAGGTGGACCTAGCATCATGATATGGGCAGGGATTTGACTTAGTGCGAGACTCGGACCCATGTGCTTTCTGAATGTTGGTCAAGGTCGGGGACACGGCGTCACTGCTCAACGGTATATCGATCAAGTGATCAGACCCCACGTTGTTCCATTTTTTGCTCAGCATCAACAACACATTTTCCAGCAGGACAACGATCGTCCCCATGTTGCCAGAGCTACCATGGCCTTTCTGCAACAACACAACATCCGTGTTCTACCGTTGCCAGCCCTCAGTCCTGATCTGAACCCCATCGAACACTCGTGGGATTAGGTTCAAAGGCGTCTGCACAAAATGTGCGCCCAGTCACTACAACTGCCGATGGACTACGCACAGCTGCTCTGGGTGTGTGCAGGAGGATCCCTAGGGCCTTCACAAATCGTCGTATCCACTAAATGTACAGGAGATGTGTGGCAGTGGTCAATGCTAATGGTAGTCACACCAGGTATTGACTGACAATTTGGGTATTGACCCGAAACTGTGTAAGCCCTAAACATTTGAAAAAAACTAGTTATGTCATCTGCCTTTTAATCCATTAAACTGTCTCCAGTCAAATTTTTGTCAATCTTGCCCTATTAGTATTTCTTGTCTTTACTGTTGAAAATAAATAACATGTTAATTGCATACTCGACTTGCATTTATTTTGCGTGTGGGTATATTTTAAAGTAATTCCCACTAAGTACAGATACTTGTTATGTTGTCAAGCAAGGCTGAGTAATGTTTGTTTGTTTGTTTGTTTGTGTGTTTGTTAGTGTAACGCCGCACTCAGCAATGTTCCAAATATATATTACGGCGGTCTGTAGATAATCAAGTCTGGAGCAGAATATCAAGTGATTGACAACATGAGCATCGATCCACGCAATTGGGTTGGTTGGTTTGTTGTTTAACGCAGCACTCAGCAATATTCCAGCTATATATGACGGCGGTCTGTAAATGATCGAGCCCGGACCAGACAATCAAGTGATTAATAAAATGAGCATCGATCCACCCAATTGGGATCCATGACATGCATCAACCAAGTCAGCGAGCCTGACCACCCGATCCCGTTAGTCGCCTCTTACGACAAGCATAGTCGCCCTTTACGGCAAGTATGGCAAGCTCCTTGCAGCGATAGCCCGTTCGCGGAGCTCTCTGTACTATCGCTGCCACCTGTCAGAACGCCCCTCTGTGAGGGGTGGCCCAAACCATGCTTGGAGTTGAACTCGCAACCGAATGACCGTTATGTTTACAAAACAAGTGAAGACTATCGGGACGCCGAATACACTTACCCCTCCTAAATTACTTTCTTTGTTTGAGAATTTGAATTTCTATTTCATTAAATCATTCATCATGTTATTGATATAGTAAATTCATCTCGAAAAGATGGTCTGTCGTACACTTTTTCAAAATGAAAAATGATGGCATTCCCAAAGACATAAACACAAGTAGAAAGGTTAGTACATTTGGGGTTAGAAGGCAAATTTCAAGATTCTTGTCATGGCCGCGCCCACACTGGTGGCAGCGATTTAACAAAGGTGTCACGGGCTGGGCAAGGAGCTTGCAAGCATGGTTTGCTGAAGACCTATTCTATCCCGGAGGTTCACGGGTCTGGCTGAGTAATGATTGTTGTTGTTGCTTTAAGTGTTTCAGAGGTCACCTTCTGTCAAACCAATTTCGGCTGACCTGTCCCTCTTTTGGACTTATTTGTTTGAGTATGGTACACATATCTATTGCGAGTTTTGGTATCCATAGAATTTCTGTTTTTGTATTGATATGATTTCCATTTTCGTATATTGATATAATTTCATATATTTTTGGCTGTAGGAAATACAAACCTCAGACCCCAATGACCCAGAATTAGGCCTGATGCCTAAAGGCCCTAGATTTGCTGAAAGTTGTTTCCAAATCAAAGTCTACTCCACTTGAACTGATCACTGATTTGCTCTAAAATAGATTATGGCTGCATCGTAAATATACTGGATACCATTCACATCGAGGTCAGAGGATTTGCCTCGGTGCCTTCAGAACGTCTCCCATTAATAGTCTGTACGTCGAGAGTGATGAGCCATCCCTAAAACTACATCGTTTAAAGTTAGCACGCAATATGTCAAACAAGTTTATTCCAGTTCATCATATTCTGCATATAAATGTGTTTTTTCAGCCTTCTTATGAGGATGTGTATGCTTAAAAAACAGCACTCACATAAGAATAAAACCTGCAATGTCTGATGCTAACATTAATCTTACCGTTAAATCTTCTACACAGATGTTGTCCTCACCTCCGTTGCAGTCTGTTAAGCCACAGCTTGATCTGACGTTAACCAACCTAAAGAAATCAGTTCCTTTATCAGCAAGAATATAATGAATTAAGAGGCACTTATTATACTTACAAATTAATTTAAAAAGATGGACCCAAGGATGGTGGTGCAATTGAACCATATCATGAAGAAAACTAGACGCCAGTTCATTTTTTTACAGCAGAATCAAAGGCAATTTTAACAGCTCTGCATATACATCCATTATCTAAATATAAACAGTTCAGCATATACTACTACAACAAAGGTTCCTGTGACACCAACATTTTAGTGTATTTTTCAAACAAGTAAATTTTGGTTTTCAATAATGTACTTCATGTATGGAATCGCACCTGCAACAGAAAAGCATGCTTTCCATGCAAAAGTTTACTTTTATGCAAGCCCCATGCAATTCACTACCCAAGAACGGGTATAAAAACATGTGCTTTTAACAGGATTCCATATGCATTGTTTAGCATCGTGCTGACAACAACAACTCAGAAAAACAACACAATTACGCAATTATTCAACATTACGAAATGCCACACCTGTCCGAAAATGAGCGTGTGTGAGCCATTGGTATGCTTGAAGCAGGATCGAGTCAAAGTGATGTTGCAAGACAATGTAACGTCCACAGAAACACCATTTGATGTTTATGGCAACGTTGGCAACAGACGAATGCAGTCAGAGACCATCCTCGGAGTGGCAGGCCATGCTTAAACAATAATCGACAAGACAACTGGATTCGAACAACAGCGTACGAAATCAATTCCAGCCAGCAACAGTGACTGCAAGAAGCATTCCTGGCCTTCGACGAAAATCGTCACAAACCGTACGTCGTCGCCTCAGATGTTGAGGGATTGTTGCCAGAAGTCCCGCCAGACGTCGCATTTTGACAGGAACCCACAGTGGTTGCACAGTGGTGCAGAGAGCGTCTACGCTAGCCGGCCATGCAGTGGGGACAAGTTTTATTCACTGACAGTCCTGTTTTCACCTCAGCCACAGCGATGGACGGATTCGAGTGTACCGACGTTGAGGTTGACGTTACGTCAGTCATTCACAGCAAAAAAAATGCAGTTTCCGGTATCCGGATACCTGCCGGATACCACCGGACACTTACCCAAAACGCGTCCGGGTATCCGGTGGCAGATACCTTGCCGGATACCAGATCTGTGGTATCCGGCATGGACACCTCACCGGAAAGTATGTCACCTGGAATCCGGGTATCCGGCACCGGATACCTCACCGGATATCTCAATCTGGGTGTCCAGGGATCCGGCACCGGATACCTCATTCTGAGTTTCCAAAAACATGTCACAATTTGGGGGGTGCATTTTGTTCAATTAAGTGTGAAACACCTAAAAATATATTGGAAACTAACCATGAAAATTGAACATTGCTGAAGGTATCCGGCAGGTATCCGGCAGGTATCCGGATGCAATTTTTCGAGATGTCTTTCTCCTAGTAAATAATGTTAGCCTGGGCATAGCAGATAGCTGTAGTAATATTCTGTGCTATTTTAGTTGTAAATATCCCCTTGAAGTTGAGATCTATGGGCATGTACTTTTGGTGAAAACATTTTTCAAGTTCATATATATTTCAATTTAGATGTTCAGCGTATTAAATGAAAAGCATTCAGTCCTGGTATGATGGTATCCTTACATATCATCTTCATATTCCCAGTTTGTTTTAGCCTAGTGGTTGAAGCATTCGATTCACCACATCGGTACATTGCTTGGTGTCACCCATCATGATATTGTTTGAATTTTGCTCATAAAGTGGCATAACACCATACTCACTCTGACAAAAAAATGAAAGTCATTGGCTATGTACTCACTTGGGCCTTTGTTCCTGGTGAGATTAAAAGTTTATTTTGGAACTGTATCAATACTTGTTACATCTTGACAGACGAGTTTCATTGAAGTTCGAAACAGAATATCATTAACCCAAATGGGTGCATAAGACTAATGGCATCCACAGAAAACACCTAATAAAGTACTGGTACATAAAAATATCAATGTAACTTTTCTACTGACATGGAACTAAAAACTTCGTTCAGTGAGCTGTATTAATTGTAGGAAAACATTCAGGGCATTAGTATATTTGATATATGTTAGCACCTATGTTATGAATGATCAATATCATATTTCTTTAAAGAAGCAAAACAAAAAAATTGTTTAGATAAAAAATCATATTTATTGATTTTATGACATTTCATTGGTTCAGTAACCAGAGGTGTTTGCAAGAACATTCAAAAACAGAAACAGATGCTTCAATGCCATTTTCTAAATAAACAAATTAGTCAAATCTCAGAAGAATTTCAAGGTAGAAGAATATCTAAAGTCAATTATGTTTGTGCAGTAAACCACAAAAGTCATTCAGATTTGTATAGTCAGCGTCAGTGTACACCACATAAACAGTCTCACTGCTGTGGTATTGATTCCTTTAGACTTGATTAATGTCGTAATAAAACAACCTACAGAATCACACTGATGTGGCATTATTCATGCAGAATCATCACTTTCTGAGGTGAACCTGTTAGTTGTTCTGGGGAGGATTATTCATCATCCGGAGAGTCCTTTGTATGACTTGTCTGATCTGGTGTCATTGTGAAATCCAGGTGCCTGAAACAATTTATAACATCTTTAAAAGCTTGTTATTAAAAATATAAGAAACACACATATATTGACAAAGGGTAAAAATTTGGTTTCTCAATGAGTAAGGTAATGACAATTTATCAAGCAACTGTTAACCAAACCATGTTAACCAATGTAAAAAAGCCATAGCAAACAGTAAATTGTACAGAAAATACAAAATTGTAATTGATCTTCTGAAAACAATTCCTGTAGTGCCATAAGGCAGGCTCACCTGAATTTTTCTCAAATGTTTGCATTACATCAAAACATAAGGAAAGGTAAACAAGGCAATGCAAATTGCATAAAATAGGTTCTTATACATAAAAACAGAACTAAAGTATTTGACGTAATAAGCGCCTCGCTTTAATAAGCGCCCATGGGAATATTTGCTAATATATTGGCTAGTGAACAATCCCAATTAGGACCCTTTCCAATTAATCAATGTATTCAAGACTTATTTATTTGCGTTTAATACACACTTGTGTGTGATATGCATTATCATATTTTTATCATTTATCCTATCTTTAATTCAGATTAACAATAACGGCAAAAACTGCCAAATATATTGGTCAAGTGTAATCATAATTTAAGTAGTTCTATTTGGTTTTGGAACTTTTCAAGGGTAATTGTAAATCATTTGATTGTTATAAAGTTACACAGTATTGCATCTATCGTCTGTTTCTAAATACAGTGGAACCTATCTTTGACTTGTGTGACATAATTGAATCATACCCCAAGTTCATTATGCATTGTTATGCATCTGCACAGAGTGGTCAAAGTCCTTGTCACACACATAGTTTGCTACAAGGCAGAATCCAATAAGTACAGTTGAGACATCAGGCTGTATCCAGACAAACTGTCTGATAATCTCAAGTATGGTCTTGGTTGCATCAAGGGGTGTAGCTAATCCTAAATAAACATTAAACAAGTGACATAATCTCTTCTACAGAACACTTGATCAAAGCCTGCCCCACCTTTGATGTTTATCATCTCGTTACGCTCACAACAGCTCATTAGCAAGATGAGCTCAATGTCAACTCATGGTGGATTAGGGATTAACAGGGCAATTAGTGTAAGGTGGGTATTATCACTTGCAATTGTCTGTTAATTACTTAATTGAGTAGTGACGGCTTAATTAGTTTCCAACCACACTGACTGTTATGCTACTTATCAAGTCAGTTTACTGGTAACATGTGTCTGTGGACCAAGGAAATGTATCATGCCAGATACTTAAAAAGTTCTACTCATAAGTAATAAAATAATGACAGTTTTGATATGCAATTCTCCCTACAAAGTCATTTAACATTTGATATACATAAACTGTCTGTTGAAACTATGATGATGCTAATATACAAGTTGCACTAAACAACCTATTCATATACTGGTACCTAGCCAAACAAACATAATTTTTTTTATGTGTATGCACATGCTTGTACACATATACCTCTACTGGCATATCACACATACAAACAATCATTAGATGGATGTAATCGTTCAAAAATATTTTACATACAAAAACAAGTGAACAGATTCTGTAATAGCATGGTTAATATTGGGAGATGTTTTAGCATTTCCATTTTCACAGAATCGAAGGCATATCCTTTCATGACTCAGATCAGCTTGTAGTGATTTAAATTCACATAAAACTGATTCATGTCAAATGACCTATCCCGCATGTGTGGGACCTGTTATAAAAATACCATTCATTACTTATTTGTGTGTCCAAATTATGCTATTATTAGAAATAATAGGTATTATTATACAGCATGGATATGATATAAGAAAGCTTTATATGGAATTGTTGAAAATTATGTACAGGAAAACATTGAAATAAATCAATCAATACGTGCATTTATCTCAGAATCTGGTAGATTTAATCAATATGGACTTCTCCTTCATTATCTACTTATAATCAGATGATTACATTATTGCTCAACTGATAGTTTGCAATAGTATAGAATTAGTATTTTATTAATACTTATTTTGTATTTCAGCATCATTTAGATAAGCCATCGGCTTGTTTGCAAATCCAGTTCACTATAAAAAAAATATATGTTTAAAACACATGTAGTAGAACATATTGCAATAGTTAAGACCCGAAAAGAAGTTATGTGTAGGATCTTCAAAATGGTATCCACAAGAGCAGGTTGTAGAATCATGTTGGTGTTTGTTGTTTAACTCTGTACTCAGCCATATTCCAGCTATATGACGGCGGTCTGTAAATAATCAAGTCTGGACCAGTCTATCCAGTGATTGACATCATGAGCCACACAATTGGGATACAATGACATGGATCAACCAAGTCAGGGAGCCTGATCACCAGATCCATTAAGTTATCTCTCACAACTAGATAGGTTGATCATGTTGATGGGGACTAACTTCAACCTGGAATCCCCACGTGAGTAAGTATGCGGCTGTTAGCTTTGTTTGATGTT